TATATTCCTATATGTTGACCACGATAACCAGCTATCATCATACCAAATTTCATTAAAATCTGTCCAGTGGTTTTCTCGTGATGCGGTAAAAGACATGCAGACAGAGAGACAGACAGACAAAAATTCTAAAAACTATAAATTCGGACTCTCTCTATCTCGATATAGACATTTCTATTTCAATTAGATTTTTCAAAAAATATTTAATGTACAGATTCGACTTAGTTACAATTTTATTATACGTATAGATTGACATGTTCCGAAATTATCACTTGTTGTTGTTGAAATGTCAAGTTATTGTTGTCGTTTTACAAACGTTAAGTTTGCTGAATCTTCTAAAGATTATTATTATTTTGAAATCAGAATAGTATTAGTTGACTTTATTATGAAACCTATTCATCAAAAATCTTTATAGTGTAAATGTTTATGTACAAATAAAGAGAGACAATACTTTTTTGACGTCATGATAATATGCTAGTGGCGGCACCTGAGCTGCTATTCACGTTACACCAAAGAAGAGATATGTGTCTGACAGGCACTGTCTACAATGCTGTAAGTTTTAGTTTCTGTTCCGTCATGGGGCAAATATTTATATTATTTCACCAAGCAAATGTCCTACCAATGGCATTAAGAACTGCAATTAATTCTTCATGATATTTTTTGAGGCGCTATGATTCCTGTAATTCCTGTTTCTGTAGGAAAAGAAAGCATGAAGAGGATGAAATTGATATAATTGTTTTTATAAACATGAACGCAACCTTAAAATTAATATAAAGTATTTGAATGCGTTTGTTTCTTTGTGTGTTTGTTCTTCTTTCACGTCGAAATAGGGTAACGGATTGGCGTGATTTTTTGTGTGGAGACAGTTGGAGGGCTGGAGAATGATAAAGGCTACTTTTTACCTCATTCCCACGAGAAAACGCGTTATAATACAACCCACAATAACGTATCATATCTATGTAAGGTATGATGATCACCTATGTAATATATACATATAAAAAATAACAAAACGGTTCAGTACCTTTTTTCTTATCTGTCTGTCAACCGATTTACTTTTTTTTTATTTAATAGCTATTGACGAGCTTAGTCAACCGACTTCAAAAAGGAGGAGGTTCTCAATTCGACTGTATGTTTTTTTTTTTTTTTTTTATGTTTGTTACCTCAGAACTCCGTCATTTATTAACCGATTTGGACAATTTTTGTTTTGTTTGAAAGGGTATACTTCCAGATTGGTCCCATTTAAATTTCAAAAAAAATACCACCCCTAAGGGTGGAAAAACAACTAATGATGAATTTAACCTACTTCTAATTGTCATATTGACTTGAAACTTTGCAAGTATTTCTATTTCCGTTGATAGTACAGTGGTTCGGTGTTGTTGACTTGATCTGATGGCAAGGCCAGAAGGTGGATAGGTGGAACTCTTCAACGGCTAATAGTAGATACTTTGAGTTTGGGCTTATTTTGTTTGATTTGACAAGCCTAACACGTTAGAATTCTTACTTTGCTACTTACTGTCTACACTAAAAAGGGAAAAATAAAAACTTTTTAACAAAAAAATAAAAACCGACTTCAAACAAAAGCACTAAAAAGTAAAAAATAACTGATTGGTAGTTTTCATTTACTATACATACCTAATCAAATATTTTCGAAGTCGGTGTGCTTTGGCTAAGTAATTAAAGCCTACCTATTACATACATACCTAATCAAATATTTTCGAAATCGGTGCCAGCCCATACAAAGCAAAGCACACCGACTTCGAAAATATTTGATTAGGTATGTATAGTAAATGAAAACTACCAATCAGTTATTTTTTACTTTTTAGTGCTTTTGTTTGAAGTCGGTTTTTATTTTTTTGTTAAAAAGTTTTTATTTATTAATCTTGTAATCAGTAAAAAAAGTGACCGGTTAGTTTTTTATATACTTACATAGATAGGTAAATTCTATTTATATAGGTTTTCCTCAAATTTTCATTAATTATTATGGTCGAATTTTAACCACTGGGCACTGGATGAACATTCACCGGATGAATTTTCACCGGTGGTAGGACGCTTGTCAAGCCTGAGGAGTCCGACTGGATGGGTACCACCCCTTTATTTAATTCTCTCGCCAAGCAACAATGATAACATTGTTGTGTTCCGGTTTGAATAGTAGCCAGCGCAATTACTGGCAAGAGGCATATCATCTTAGTCCTCACAGTGACAACGCACCTGCAGTTCTGCATTTTTGTTACATAAAACTTAAATGCATGAGCCGTAGGTGTTATGGGCGACAGGTAGCGCTTTCTATCAGGTCGGCTGTCTGCTCGTTTATCACTGAATATCATAAAAAAAAACACAGTAAAGGATGTTGCTAAAAGTGCAAATATTCGCCTATTGAAGAATTGTTAGAAGAGATTGCGCTGAAGCAATTTTGGTTGAAATAGGATATTGTGCTGCTAATGTTAAAGAGAAATTATTTGAATGTGCAAACAATTAATAATTATCGCCTGTAGAACCCAAGCAAGACACGTTTTCATAATGATTTCTTACATTATATTTTGTTATTTATTATTGGCGATGTAATGGTAATGTTAATTTTGGACATGAATTTGAGTCTGTAAATATATAATACCTATACATGGTGAAACGAATCGATGGGACATGAAAGAAAAGTACTTTAAATGTAAAAATTAACAAAATTTACTCAAAGGAAACATTTCTTTATTTTTAAAAATAATAATTTATCTATTTTTAAAAAAAAAGCTTAGCTGAACCGGAAATCGAACCAAATAAAAATGCAAAAAAGGACACCGTCACTATTTTATCAAATTAATCGATATATGTGCTATATGTAAGATTTCATCGTTTTTAATTAATTGTAACATACATTTTTCGTTCGAGACATTTCATCCTTACCATAGACTCTATCCATTAATTCGATAAAATAGTGACGGTGTGTGTACCTTTTTACATTTTCCGTTGGTTAGATTACCGGTACGGGCCACCTCTTTTCAACCGACTTCCTCAAAAAGGAAGTTCTCAAGTCGGCTGTATTTTTTATGTTTGTTACCTCATAATAAGAATTTCGAAGTCGGTGCCAGCCGATACAAAGCAAAGCACACCGACTTCGAAAATATTTGATTAGGTACCTATGTATAGTGAAAGAAAACTATCAATCAGTTATTTTTTACTTTTTAGTGCTTTTAAACAAAAGTAGGTTTTTATTATTTTGTTAAAAAGTTTTTAAAAAATATATTAAATGCAGCTGTAATGCTACAGCTATATTATCGCTAAACTTAAAAACGACTTAACCTAGGTAAGGTACTCTGTAGTTGGCTTGGTGATAATTTGCAATTTATCGATTACAATATTTTAACAACGTCACGAAGTCATGACATAGGGGCAGCTGCGCAAGCGCTGGCTACTTTGTGTGCGCAGGTGCTTTGCGCTGTTTGATAAAATCAGAGGTACAACTTATGTATGGTCAACAATTTGCAAAAATATTATTATAACTGGTTATTTAAATTGTATAATAAATCTTACATTTATATATCTATTATGTATGTACTACTCAGCGGAAGATCTTCAACCAACCGCAAGTTTTGAAATTCTTAAACATACCTATCTAAGATCCTTAATTCACTATAAAATTTATACATACATGTAGGTATTATATATTATGAATAATACCTCGTCTTATCGCCTCTACTGGTGACAGCTGGCTTATTTTCGCCCAAAGAATCGGCATTGCCATTCAGCGGGGGAATGCGGCTAGCATTCATACCATTACTCCACGCGGACATGACTTGTACACTGTACAGTAACAATTAATTATTACGCGTACATTTATTTTGTTTATATAATTAAGTTAATTATAATTTTATTTATTGTAAATAAATTGATAATTTTTAATATTTTTTATTTAAAAATTAAGTTATATTACAAATTTTTGAAGAATACTTTAGTGTACTTACAACTCCAATAAACTACGCTGTCATACTGTACATCGGACAAAGTGGGTAAGAAATGGTACTATTATAAATATTATTAATGCTTCATTTGTATTTTGTAATATTTGCGGCGTATGTTCGTATGTATCATACTACTTACTGCTAGTAATAATAAAATTTGAATAGTTATTAATATTAATATTGAAGATTTTTATATGTTATTACTTGTTGTTGTTTGTATTTAAATAGTGTACCTATTTAAATCTGTAGGTAGGTACTAGGTAATAAGGAATTAGTGTGTTTAAGTAGGTTAGTCGCAGAAAGATCTGCGCATGCAAAAAGTGTTAAAAAATATTTTAACTTTCAATAATAGTAATTTAAATTAATATTTAAACTCTTTAAATTACATATAAAACAATAATATTATTTACACTAATAATAATTTTTTTTTGTGGTTATAACTACATATTAAAATAATATAAACACTAAATAATATTGTTATATTTAATTGTAATATTTATTTAAAAAAATGTTTAAAATTAAAATCAACAAATATTGTAAGATACTTTGGTGCCATTTAGGAATTTTTGAAATCATTTTTGTAAAATTGTGGGTATTGTCTGAAACAAGTACCTACCTACCTATATAACGCCTTTGAGAAGTCTAAAACCTTAGTCTTTCCCGTGACCATGATTGCTGTAAAACATTCGAAACATTTTAATCATACCTATACCATAGTGATATTTTCCAGTTTCTTTTATTTATTTATTATAAGTATTATTATTATTATTTTTATTTAAAGTTAAAATCGGCCAGTTACATATTGTTCATGTTAATAATATAGGAATTTGAAATATTAAATTTCACATAGGTATATTATTTATTAATTCTTAATTTTATATTTTTAATTATTTCATTATATTTAGGTATTTAGAGTGATTAAAATTAATGTTAATAAAAGTTTATTTTTAATTTGAAATGTTACTTTTCTTAGAAAAATATTTATTTTAATAATAGAAATTAAATAAACTATAATAAAAAATATTTAATAATTAAGTAATAAGTAAAGGTAAGATGCGCGGGGCGCGGCGGGCGCGGCTGGCGCCGGCCAATGGGCGCGCGCCGCCCGCGCCGCTGCCGCACGCTCTCCCTAGCGATAAACATACGTTTCTCGCCCCAAACATGAGCTTTTTGTGCAACTTTAGGGCTCGAGCGTCCCCGCGCACGTTGGTCGACTGCACCACATCCACTGTTCATCATCTATCGCATACTGAACTCCCATGAAAAATTACTAAAGCTCTACGCCGGACGAGACGCCCTGCGAGCTTCAATAACATTTCCCAATTTTCCCTTGAAAATTATTATACCAAATATTTACTTTTTATTACTATTTCGATAGGCGCTTTTAAATGAATATCTTTAGGTCAAGTTTATTGAAGGAAAGACGTCCGAGGACTTTGTTAAAATTGGAGTCAAGATAGCGACTATTGACTCGGCCTCGAAAAAAAATATTTTAATTATTATTGCATATGTAAATTTTATTCTTTAAGAAATTATAATCATGAAAAAATAAAATTGCAATATAAATATTAGAGAGAAAGACGCTACGCGTGGGTCCCGCCCAGCCGGTGCGACACGCGCGGGTGCGGCGGCTTCGAAGCGCCCCTCGCTCGCTTGCGCTAAGTAAAAAAAATATTGTCGCATCCCAAGTATTTTACTTTTATCGGAGAGGCGCAAACATAAGTATCATATTTATAATTTAAAAATTCTAAAATAATATTGCATTTTGGAAGGAAAATTGTTAAAAATTTTCCGATAGCGCTGCCTCTCTGACGTCAAGAGAGCTGCACCGCCACCGGTAGGTATATGTAAAATCATTAAAAATACTTAAAGAATACCACTTTATTATTTGTATATTATTTTGATTTCCAAAGCGATGTTTACAATGTAATTTTTTTTTTCGACATCCTATAGGTAGTAGCGGCGGCCGAGCGTCATAGTAGGTAGAGCTGTTCGAAGAAAGATGCCTTTATTCCGAGAATTGTTAAAATTGACACTCTGAATGCATTTTGTAAATAAAGTTTAAACGGTAAAAATATGTTAAATTCGTGCGACACTGCACGTATCCCACGGTTGTACGACGTCTACAAATATTCCATTGAATATAATTTGTTATTATTTTAAATATATTAAATTACAGGTATTGTGTAAGATTTGACTTTATATATTTTTTTTATTTGGTTTGAGATGATTCCTTCCAGTTTATGATTGAGATTCTATCAATCTACACGCCTAATATCTACATAGTTAGTGCAAGTATCTTAAATAACATGTATGTAAGTATGTACCTTCTTAAATTAAACATTATTGGATAACTTTAGGTATGGTAATGAAATAATTGAACATTTTTGATAAAGTTTAGTAAAGTAAAGTGATTTTGTCTCTAGATAGGTACCATGTACATAAAAATTGAACGCACATAGAAATAAAATTATCCTTTATCGGCTACACAAGTTTTTTATGGTTTGTGTTGATATCGTAAACGGTTTTTATCAATCGACTTCAAAAAAAGGAGGAGGTTCTCAATTCGGTTGTATTTTTTTTATGTTTTATCTCATATTTATTTTTTATGTTTGTTACCTCAAAACTCTGTAATTTATTACCGCTTTGAAAAAATCTTTTTTGTTTGAAAGTATATACTTCCAGTTGGATCCCATTTCATTTTGAAAAAAAATACCCCTACGGACGGAAAAATAGCTAATGAATATTTAATCCACGTTGTCATATGGACTTGAAACTTTGCAAGTGTTTGCATTTCCGTTGATAGTGCAGTGATTTGGTATCGTCGATCTGATCTGATGGTAAGGCCAGAAGGCGGACAGTGGAACTCTTCAACGTCTAATAGAAGATACTTTGAGTTTGGGCGTTAGAATTGGATTTTAGTTTGTCATTCTTCATATAAAAATTGGCATCAGACTAACTTAAACGGCTCAAGCGCATATTTTATTAAAATACTTTGTTTGCTAATACTACGTCTACACTAAGAATCGAAAAATAAAAACTTAAAAAGTAAAACAAAACCCGACTTCAAAATAAAAGAAAGTAAGAAATAACTGAACGGGAGTTTTCATTTACTATAGAATATATATATCTAATCAGATACTTTCGAAGTCGGTGCCAGCCGATGCAAATCAAAGCAAAGCTTACATCACAAATTGATGTATAATAAGTAAGTATTTTAAACTCATCCTCGCTCCGTTCGGCTTCGTCCCTATGTATTTATATGATCTATACTTACATATAATAAAGTTCTGAGTCGAATCTGTACATTAAATAGTTTTTGGAAAATCTTATTGAAACAGACATCATTATCGATACAGAGGCCGAATCTATAGTTTTTAGAACTTTTGTCTGCTTGTCTGTCTGCCTGTCTGTCTGTATGTCTGTTACCGCATCACGGAAAAACCACTAAATGGATTTTGATGAAATTTGGTATGATGGTAGCTGGTTATCCGGGTCAACATGTAGGATACTTTTTACCGCGGGAAAATATCTTATTTCTGAGAAATTTATACTAAACGTTAAAACGTAAGTAGGGACGAACCCCAGTGGTGCGAGGGTGAGTCACTAGCATATGTATATAGTTCTACAATAATGTATGGAATGTGCTATAGAATACAAAAATATTTTTTCAAATCGGATTAGGACTTCCTGAGATTAGCGCGTTCAAACAAACAAACTCTGTCTCTTTAAAATATTAGTATAGACTTTAATTATTAAAGTTTATACGTACCTTGTCATACCTATTTACCTATTCCTATCTTAAAGCATTGTGGGCTGACATCGACTTTAAATATATCTGTTTAGGTATCTATAGTTTATGAAAACTCCCATACAGTTATTTTTTACTTTTCAGTGTTTTGAAGTCGGTTTTTTTTATTTCTAGATAATGAACTGTGATCTAAGCTCTTTACCGCCAAAAAGGCGTTTTAAAAATATGTATAGTAAAGAACTGAAACCTTCTAATGAACAATAAAAATAATGAACAACTTTTCATTATTAATATAATTATAAAAAAAATAATATCTTAAGAATATACTTAAGATTTACGATATGTACCTACTTCGTATGGTACCTATCACTTGTAAATTGCAAGTCATCGAAAAGTTCGAGAGAATCTAACATTTATCAGAATATTAATATACAATTTTAATAGAATCATTATCAATAAATTTATTTATTTTCCTTGTATTTTTCAAATAATGTTATTTTTAATGCCAGACTATCGATTATTTAATTTTATATTCCAAAAAAAAAAAAACTTAAAACTCTGCCATTTCGATTTAAATATTAATAACATAATATTTATTTAGTTAAATAATATATTGTCTAATAGATTTTCTATGAAATTTCATTTGAATATTTAATATTATCATGTTTTTATGTGTTATGAAAATATACCTAATATGAAAAACTGTGTATCTTATTTTTTTAATAATTCCTATTCGGATTCCTTAATATCGCTTTTTAAATAATAATATAAAACATTGACGGGTAATCATATCATATATTTTAACGTGGCGTAATTAATAGCACACCTAACAGTTACTTATACTTTTTTTTAATATAGCTATACTTTTTTAAATATTAAACAAACAAGACTTACATATCACCCCATAACCTATACCTAATTATCTGAATTATTATTAATTATCTAAATATCTGCTATATAAAAATAAATTGGGTAATTTAAGCTTTAAAATACAAATGTCTATTAAAAAAAACATGTTTTTTAAAGTCATTTAGACAAATATTTGTTGTAAATACAAAAGACGCAGCCATATTAAATGAACAAACAATTTAAAAGTATGTAGTTCCATTTTAGGCGTTAATTTTTTACATTATGCGCCTATAGCTGAAAGCTTATATGAATGTAACTTATCTTTAAATCATGAAAAATAATAAATTGCAATTACAATTTTCCCTATTTTAACATTATAACGTAAAATTTAACTTTTTGTAACGAATCAGTGTTAGTACAACAGCTATAAAATTAATTTAAACTTAAAATAATCCTTATAATTTATTTTATTCCAGTTTTCATCGATATATGATAATTTTATTAGTCGCAAAGTTGATAATTAAGAAAGAGTTTTATTACTATCCTTGGCTTCCCCGAGGGAAGCACAGGGCGGAAGTAGAGTGAAGCACACGTGTGCCGCATGCGCCGATAACGACAGCATTTTTCTACTAGCGATGTTTGCCAGCCGGTGGGAACTCGATCGACCTTATTTCAATCGTACGAATGGCATTATCCTTCGAGAAACCCTTCTCTGAATAATTATATTGAATAGTCGGCATACTTAGTGTAATAGCATAGGAAAATATAAATTTATTGTAAACGGGTTAGTACAGGAAAATGACACCGTTAGGCAGGAATTGCACGTGGAAGGGAGTTCTGAGTAATGTAAGTAGTTGTAGCAATTATATGAGCAACTGCTGACGCAAACATCGCGCCCGCGCCGCCGCCATGCTGGATTGAAATATAACCTACTTAGTTAACAAACGTACTGTTTGGATCATATTTTCCTTATTAATTTGTTTATTTTTAAAATAAATAATAAAATTACACGTACAATTCCAACTAACTGATAAATAAGTATCTATCGGTCGGTTTGAAAGTCGGGAGTTACTTATGTTATCGTTGTTAGGTAGTTAGGTGATGTAACCTAAAATATTCCAGCTGGACAAATTTTTAGAGTTAGGTATTTATAATAAAAGAGTGGCACAACTATTAAAAAAACAAATGTAAATGAATTATAAATAATTGTTATTACTCCTTCTTTATAGAAACTCATTAGAAGCATGGTTTACATTCAAAAACGTGTTTCCACACGAGACCACCGTGTCAATCCAGATAATCCTGTATGGAAATTCCTATATGGGATTGTTCAAGCAAACATATTTCATTTCAATTGCGATACGAAATTAATTTTACGTAGTTGCTCATGATTTGTAATTATTATTTAATAATTTACAATATTTAATTATTAACAAAACCCTTTTAACTTTTTAAATTTTAATTCATAAAATAAAAGGATTTGTTTTACACATTGGCCATTGCCCACTGATTTAATATTCGATATATCGTGACTTATCAGTAGATAAAAGCTGCAATACCTTACTTTATCATAGAATAAGTATTGTCATTTTAGGTAGCTATATTATTTCTAATCACAAATATCATTTGCTCTATCTATTCGGATTTAATAAAAGATAAAACAATCATATTAGGTAGTAGGTATTAGAATTGTTATCTATCAACAAATTATTTTATAAGGTATGATGTTTAGTTTGTGTAATAGGTATAACTAGTTCATATATTTATAATAATTTATTTATGTAATGGTAATTTTATTTTATAGACTAGCATTGCCCGCGGCCCCGCCCGCGTTCAGATTACCAAAAAACAAATTCTTAGATTTTACATATTAGTAAGTATACTAACTTAAAATGCAGTTTTTGTATTTTTTCTCAGAAATAAGATATTTTCCCGCGTTAAAAAGTATCCTATATGTTGACCCGGATAATCAGCTACCATCATACCAAATTTCATTAAAATCTGTCCAGTGGTTTTCTCGTGATGCGGTAACAGACAGACAGACAAACAAAAATTCTAAAAACTATAGATTGGGACTCTGTATCGATAATAATGTCGATATCAATAAGATTTTCCAAAAAATATTGTACACATTCGACTTAGTTACAATTTTATTATAGGTATGTATAGATTTTCTAAAGTCAGTACCCACAGTTTTGGGATTCTAGTCTTCATATTAAAACAAAAGCGATTTAGAGTAGTGGTAGATCGACTATACGTATAGAGCACATAATTCATTTGTAAAAATACAATAAAATCAATACTTATATTGAATTATATTTTTTTATTGTTATTAGCAGTAACAAGTTTAATTATGAGAAAAATATATTTAATTAAAACAATGCACCTAAGCTCTTACATTCGTTAAAGAGCGCATACATATATTTTTAGCATGATAACAAGGAGGAGTTTATCCTATTATTATTGAAAAAATATACCTATTTTGTTTAATTATAAATACATATTTAAGTAATGAAAATTGCAAAAAATAATCGTTAAAAGTTTGTAAAACCTATTGCGAATTTAATTTGTTTTTAGAGATTTTATAATAATTTAGGTTAAATTCTAAGATATATTTTACAGTTACGCTTTTCAAATCGTTTGGCAATTGGCACTAAAGCACGAGCGCGCCGACTGCCTACTTGGGGCCGTCGGGGTGCTACAAACTGTCGGACACGCCTCTGCCGATCATTCGAGTCCTTAACGACCTTTACAAACAAACAATACAATTATTTTCTATTAAATACTTATAATTACATACTTGCAGTTTATAAGGATAGATTCAATTTGATGCAGAATTTCATTTCTTATTCGTCGTTACAACGTTTGTGTGTGTGTGTGACATGTTTCACACATGCAGAAACGTGCGTCATACGACACACATATGTAATAATAATGGGAACCCAAGAATACATTGCGTAGTGAAAAACTAAGCTTTAGGTGAACGTACCGAGCAGTGTATTTAAGAATGTAGATAATGGCGTATCGCACGGCCATGTGTGCGGCGCAAGCGCATGTGTGTCGTTAGTGGAGATGAGAGTGTGTGCGTGTCGTGGTGGGCTGTGTGCGTGTAGCCCACCAACGAGGTTATCAATCTTTAATGAGTCGCTTATTATTACTATTTAAAAATGCGCGTTTGCCCACCTCGTTCATGCCTATACAGATTAGACAAATTGCAAAACTAAGTTAATTTGAACGACACAAATAATTTTCTATTGTAACTTCATGATATTCATTATTCTCGTAATCAGTTGAAGTTTGTTGATATTAATTAATTAGCAAGTATATTTAATTGTATGTAAGTGATTAACATTTATAAAATTAACTCTCGTGTTGAAAATTAATATAGCACGCCGTTGATTTTTTACGGTTGCTTTACTTAATCTAAATAACGGCAGTTGAACAGTCACTTTATTACGGACTTGGGGACCAAGAGGCACAAGAATAGCTTTTGTGTTAGCAGTGTACAGGTGACTTAAACTATGTATTTAAATATTAGACATGTACAATTTTGGCGAATTGCTATTTTGGCGCTATTGAAGTTATTTCAAACATTTCCTTACAAAATTAATTAGTAAATTCGAATATGACATGAAATTAAGTTACATGATTTATATAATTACGTGTAGAGCAAGTTACATTTAATATTACACACTAGCTTATAAATTTTTTATGTAAAATTCAATCTGCTCATGGCAAATGTTGTGTAGTTCAAGTTTGATTACATGTGTCCCGCGCTAATTTCATCCATTACATTTAGTGTACATATTTAAATAGCTAAACCCGACCAAAGTGAGTAACCATATCTACTGGAGGTCTAAATACATTGGTTAGTTCCAATTTGTATGTTAATCTAGCGCAACTATTGCAAAAAATCCTCTATTAATAGAGCTTAGATTACGAATAGGAAAAACAATTTACAAGGATCGTTCATTGTAATAACAATAAGTCTAATGTACGGTTTTTCATAATCTACAATACGAGTAATAGGTATATTTCTAGTCTTATCTAATCTAAGAAGATTTTAATGAATTTGCAATTTTGCGGCGTGGTATGATATCGAGGATCAGGTAAGTTTGGGCCTATCGCTGCAAGCGAGATGCACAAGAGCGCGGTGCGGTGGTGTGCGGAGTGGTGCGGCGGCTCGGCTCGACGGCCGGCGGAGGAATGCAACAGGTAACCGATTCCAGGAAGGCCGCGGCCCGTTACCGTGCCGAATATCTCCGGCAGTCAAACGCGCCGACAAGTGCGGCGGCCACTTGCGACAACACCGTGCGATGCACCGGACACCCCGCCCCCCGCACCACCGCCGCTGCATTCCAAACGACATTGAGTTAGAAACCAGTCGAGCGATCCCACCGCATTCTATCTGCACCATCCGGACCTTCTTCACCTAAAATTCATCGCTTGTACGCATCGATGCGGTTTCCACAAATGCAACTACAGCGACTTTTTGGATTGGTCCATCCTCGCAATTTATAATCACAATTTAAAAGCTTTCGTACCTTAAGAGGTAGTAACCGACAGACATATGCTTAGTTGTCATCTTACGCAATAGATTTTGGTAAAACTTATCAAACAAAACTCTACAAATATATTTATTAAATCAAGAGCCCTATATACATAATTTAAACTGGAACAGATATCTGTCATTTTTTTCAACTAAATTGTTCCAGCCCCTATATCGACGTTGACAGCACAATTGCTAGATTCTCATGTGAAGTTAACAGTTTAAGTATGGGGCGCACCCTCACCCTCGCCAGCGCACGCGCACGTCTCTAATTCTATAAATAAATAACTTCATTCAAGCGGTATGATGTTATGCATCTGGAGTGCAACTTATCTTACCACTATTTCCTGTCATTCGGAAGATATAACTACTATCTTAACAATGCATTACTGAGTTCATCCTGTATAGGGTTCGGATGTAAGGTAATGTTTGGATATTATGTCAACCCGTCTGAAATGTACCAAAAATTTGAAAAGTAGGTACTCATAATGTTTTAGATGTTATATTATAGGTTTTATAACAGAACGTAAGATAATCAATATAATCGTTTGCATCACTGCACTAGCTATAAACAACCAATAGTAGTAGTACATACTCATGAGTATAAATTAAGTCAAATAATGAAACCGGCCCTCACTTCGTTCAACCCTCAATAATTATAAAATTAAGCTAGTCCAAAGTCCACGCCATGTTAAATCGCATCTTGCTGTATACTTGCAGAGTGCAGATTGGCGTCATATTAATAGTATACATAAAACTATCAATTTTGCATTGTCTCTGTGCTTGTGTAAAGAATGGAAGTTAAAATATCTATACTAACTACAAATTTCGTAAATATAGTCAACTAGCATTGCCCGCGGCTCCGCCCGCGTTCAGGTGACCAAAAACCAAATTCTTAGGTTTTACATATTAGCATACTCTTACATTGCAGTTTTTGTATTTTTTCTCAGAAACGAGATATTTTCCCGCGGTAAAAAGTATCCTATATGTTGACCCGGATAACCAGCTATCATCATACCAAATTTCATCAAAATCTGTCCAGTGGTTTTCTCGTGATGCGGTAACAGACAGACAAAAATTCTAAAAACTATAGATTCGGACTCTGTATCCATAATAATGTTTATTTCAATTAGATTTTCCAAAAAATATTTAATGTACAGATTCGATTTAGTTACAATTTTATTATATGTATAGATAAGTAATAAAAAATATTTTAAACACTATTTTTGGTAATTTATTGAGTTTATTATAACTATTATTATTATAACTTTTAATCTTACAATAACAGTTCATTCATAAATAAGTCTTTGGATGAGTTAACGGGGCAAAAAACGTAAGGAAGCTTCGGCTCAAATGTGTCCCCTAATAGTTACGAGTGGGAGTCGCTAAAGACGCATATTGACGGATGACTCCTCTAAGTTCCGACTTGCCAGATGTTAATGTATCAGCGGTGAAGAAGTAAATTTAGTGGTTATTTATATTTGTATGTAGTAGGCAGTAGATATGTATAGACAAAGCTAAACAAAATCAAAATTCAAAATTCTCTATTCAATATTGGTATTTCAGGAATGTACTTATTGATTGTCAAAAGCAGCCGAAACAACATCAGCGGAATAGTTTTGAGTGTATTTAAAAGTAATTTAAAAAATAATAATAATATTAAAACAATAATCAAACAACCGGGTGATGATCTTATGGTTCCCGGGGTGCTTCAACCAAATCATTTACAGTATAAATAGCCTTAAATACATAAACTTTATTTATTGAAATTATACTTCTTTTGGGACGTTTGGAAAAAATATGAGAGTAAAACTTTTACTGCTGACTGACAGTTAAAAAGCGACATGATGAAGTTAGCTGTAAGGAACATGATGAAGTTAGCTGATAACTGTTTGTTGCCATGGTAGCCGTTGTTATTGTTTGATAAATCTATACATATAATAAAATTGTAACTAAGCCGAATCTGTACATTTAATATTTTTTGGAAAATCTTATTAAAATAGACATTATTATCGATACAGAGTAACAGAGGCCGAATCTATAGTTTTTACTCGTACATTGCAGTTTTTGCATTTTTTCTCAGATATGATATTTTTTTTCCGCGGTAAAGAGTATCCTATATGTTGACCCGGATAACCAGCTATCACCATACCAAATTTCATCAAAATCCCTCCAGTGGTTTTTCTGTGATGCGGTAACAGACAGACAGACAAAAATTCTAAATACTATGGTTTCGGCCTCTGTATCAATATATTTCAATAAGATTTTCCAAAAAATATTTAATGTACAGATTCGGCTTCGTTACAATTTTATTATAAGTATAGATTGAGATTAGATGCCAAAGCTTCTTATTCTTTACATATTTGTAAGTTAATTTAAAAAATATAAATTTATAAATAGCCACATGGCTAAAAATTAGTCTTATAATTTCTAAAAGTCCGTCTACAACAGTTTTTACTGTACATATAATATACTCTGCAACTTTTCAAGTAGGTACATAGGTATATTGAGTTAGAAGAACTTAAAAACGACTTACATTGAAAATTCATTTGAATAAGATATCATATGTTATTTTGGCAGATGGGCTTATTCGATTACACGCTTAATTAGTTCAGTGACCACTAAAGATTTTTAGAATTTTACGTTTCACAGTCCTTTCTGGAAATTCTATCTAATGCTAAATATTTACTGGAAGTATTATAATATGCACTATGCATTTGTAGATATTTTTTTAATACTCGCAACACAGTACTAAGCTTTTGATAGGACGCTCTTACCCCCAAACAGGGCAATTTCGCCAGTCAGAGGGTGGCAGTGAAAGTGAGGGTGCTGTATCGGTACCCACTCCATAGTAGTATTTACCTCTCCACCAAAGTGCTGGCAGAAGTATATATACGTGTATTGGATTGACCGCCACTTCTGCATCAAGAGGGAACGCGAGGTAGGTCCTAAATAATAGGCTAACTAAAGGTGATTTACAAGTGTCGTCTTCAGGTTAGGAGTGCGACGCCTTTTTGAGTATAAAATCGCTACACTTAGGAATATTCCATGAGCTACCTTTCAAACTTCCTCCCTCCCTACCTAGACAAGGTCTGATGGCGGTAATGGGTAGAAATTGTTTGCTGCTGAGCTCTGCTAAGGCCTGTAGCTATGATCGAAGACCTAAAGCGAGCTGATATTATTGTTCCACCAATTCGCCGATGAAGGCTAAGTTTCCGCTACTGGAGCCATTACAGCTACATAGCATAGAAGTCGGCAACCAAAGTTAGAATTATACGAGTATTAAATACAAGACTAAATAAATAAAATTATTTTTAAGGGTACGTTTATTGGGCTAATAGCTGGCAATACAATTTCTATTTTAAATGTAAATGCATTGCATGCAAATGGTGGTGTGCGACTCGCGCTTGTGCGAATTTTATTTTAAGTCAGATCCAACTTCAAATTGAATATTCACGTTTTTTAATATAGTGCTAAAGTTGATTTTTGGGTATTCGAGGATTGGGCGCATTCGTCGCTGATGATGTAAATATACATTTCTTAAATAAAATCTAACTTGTAACTCAAAAAAAAAATTGTAACACAATCACATATTATGACACGTAGACTTGTATTCTATATTTGAACACATTCATTTGCTCATCTATATTTGAATACATTCATTTGAATTATAGAATAAAAATTCAAGTGAACAAAAATAGGACATCCTTATCACGTGACGACTCTCCACCGGAAATATGAAGACGATATTTCAAACCGAGCGCCCCCTGCGACGCATCTCAATCATCCACTAATAAGCAGGAAAGTAATCCAGACAAAAGTTTAAAATTAGACGGCTAGGAATAGATCGAAAGGTGAGCTTGAGCGCGGCGGCCTCACGAGACAAAAATAAATGCGTGGCGTCGTCGCCCGCCGCTGACGCCGGGCTACGCACTCCTGAGAATCCATCACCCTTTCAATACTATAATCCCTTGCACATACACGGTATTATGGACATTATAATCTATACCAAACTGCTATTTCGAACCAATTCCACTGCCTAAATATCTAATAATATGTACATTGTACAATAAAATATCATTCTAACTTAGAATACAATTGAAGATCTAATATTTTGGATAAACCAATCGAATATAAGCATATACTTAAAATATTTATAAAATCAGTGAATCAGTCGACAACTACAAAGTCGATGACGGTATTGAACTGATAAATCTCACGCTGACAGTCGATGTCCTATTCGGAGACAACACTCCTGTGAGCAGAATAGTTTACAATAGAAACGAGGTTGGCGCCATTGGATCCGGGTATTCCGATATGCTTTTTCAGTTTTAATACGAACAATGAATAAAGATTACAACTAGTAAAAATTTTTTAAGTTAATCTTAATATAAAAAAATATGGGAATTGCTGTCACTCTCATTTTAAACATTCATATTCTATCGTTCTCATTTGTTCGTTGAATGCCATGTTTTTGAATCTGAATATATTTATTTTAAATATATATTTTAAATAAAGTTTCCCAACTGCATTTTATTAAAATTTCATAACAATTGTGACTATTGTATTAACAATAAACACTGATTCCGAACAATAACAATAAAAGCCAAAACGATGTCATGTACTTATCATGGCTCTGCCAAATAGAGACGTTTTGCATAAACTCTGTCAATTTGGAAAACTCATGAATAATTTATGTCAATTATACAAACACATTATAATATTCATTTTAATAAAGGCATGTGTTTCGTTCATTAGACAGACGTCCGTCCGGTTAGGATGTGAGATTACAAATACGCGTGCCCGTTTGCGGATTTCCATCGGATATCCATACGTCGTGTGGATAACGCACGACTTTCAATACTTTC